TATTACCTATTCCCGTTTGGAAATTATATATCACAATTACATATTCTGAGATTAAAATGGTCGCAGCTACCATTGTACGGCCATATAGGCGTCATTTGAAATTTATCAAAATTTACCGGGAGCACCGGTAAATTTGTATATTCAATTTTTCTCGAAAACAGAAGTATTTTAGGGGCTAATATTTTTAGTGCTTATAATACATCCACAGGGGCATCCAAATATTTCAAAATTGTAAATATTCACTATCCACCCAATTTTCAAATTTACCAAAACTTTGTATTACCTTTAATGCCAGTCATGCTAATGCTTATTGTGGATCGTCAGGAGTGTCAAATGTGACGGACATGAGCGCTATTTAAGAACCCATTATCATTATCAATATTATTATCATTATTATTCGTGTTATTCCTGATTCATGTTGGATTCGCCTTCGACTCCAATACTTAGACATATTTCGTCCAATCATTGTTCTGATCTCTAGGCCATCCAATATCACTTTTTTTTTCTCCAGAGGCCATTCCTGAAGGAGAGATATTGGTGTCGGATGTTACGTTATCATCGGCGTTTATCCAATGGAGACCTGTTGATGGAGTCTTCTCCTATGACATCGAGACTGAACCAAGTGATGCCATTGAGGGTACAGGGGGTATCTTTAATTCTGAGGTCGGACTGACCATTCTATTTCCAGGAACAGTGTTTAATGTGACTGTAAGAGGCGGCAGTCCAGTCATGGACCTGGCATCAACGCAAATAAGAAGTGGTAAATTACGATACGCGTGACAAAAAAATCATGCGAAGTTTATTGTGCAAGATTTTCAATTATATGTTTATAACTGATTAATTGCTTTCTATCTCATGTTCCTCATATCTTATCGAACATCCACATTAATGTGCGTGTGACATTTACATTGGATACATGTATATTTGATAATTTTTTCAAATACTGTACATGACATTGTATAGATAAGTTAACAGATTTTATCAGTTATCGAGATCGTTGTGAAGTTAATTTTCTTAGGGAGGTTATGTCCTAGGGGATAATTTTCCGGGGGTGGTTGTCCACTTTTTTTTGTCTTTTTTTTTGTCTCGAAATTTGAAAATTTGACATGTTGCTCCGTTGGGGGGGTGTAAGGTTAACTTTTTTAGGTCAGCCATGGGTATAATTTTTTTTCATTATTATTATTATTTATTATAATAAAAAAAAACAGAAAAAAAAAGGGAAGGGGGGGGGTTCCCTCCAAAATACACACATAAAAAATACCAAAGGGGGGTCAACCCCCCTCCCCCCTCCCCCCCCCCCCCCCTTCATACGCGCCTGATTGTCCTGATACGGTTAAGTCGATTTAGTACATTATATACGATATAAATATGTGATATTATTGTTTCTTAGCACCCGAGACTCCAGTGAACATTACTCTGGGACGAATCGGTAGCACGGAAGCAACACTCTCTTGGACCCCTCCAACTAGCCCACACGACGCATATGAGTTCTACGTCATCATCAATTCAACCAATGAGCGTTCACTGCGAAAAACTATTCAAACGGAAGATGTCAACGGATACGAGTTTACAGTGACGGAGTTGTTAAGTGGTACTCTGTACGTGCTTGAAGTTGGGACCGTCCTAGAAGCCAGCGATTCCTTTTCATTGCAGAGGAGTGACCAGAATGACAACCCTTCGGTATTCGGACGAACTGGTAGGCAAAATACGCACTGTTGACACTCCCTATCTATTTGCTAATGCAGTTATTTAGTCGTAATATTATTCACGATGGTCTTGCTATTGTCAAAGATCGGAATAGAGTTTAGTTCTGGTCATGCAATGAGATTGTAGAAGTAACCGCTTGGATAAACTGGGAAATGTTGATTATGTAGTACGATGGGGGTTGGGTGTCTGGACACATCAAGACTTTTATTTTCCCTTCGGATTTCACGGAAAACATTTATCAAATAGCACAAACCATCATTAATACGTGTCCTTTATAAAAGTGTCTAACATAAGTCTCAAAACAATTATAAAGTATTGCTTGGAAACGTACTAAATTTGCTGTTTTTACCCCACGAAAAAATATACCTTAATCAAAACCAACTTATCATCAGGGTGGACATCTCCTTCAGGTAATGCACAGTTGTGGGAATATTTTGAAAATTGGATTGATAGTAATTCCTTGAAATTTTGATATGTTGGGATGCCCCTTTGGACGTATTACAAGCACTAGAAATTTAGCCCCTAAAACACTTCAGCTTTCGAGAAAATGAATAATCAAAAATTTACCGGTGCTCCCGGTAAATTTCATATATTTCAAGTAGCGCCTAATATCATTCCATTGTAGCTGCGACCAGTTCTGATATATAATTTCCAAACGGGAATAGCAAATTGTTTGATTGTATTCAAGAAACATTGTTTTAAAGCTAAAGTAATATCAGTCTTGTGAGAGAGCTATACGACATACAGAGTTTATTATTTACAATGTCATCACTTTAGACTCGATTTCAGCCGCGACAACGATCATTGAATATAGTAAAATCGCATATGTTTCTAATATGTTCATTTGAACCAAATTCATGATGAGGCTACCCTGGGTAAACAAGACTTGATATTATTATTATTATACCAAAGCTTGTATTACCTTTAATGAAGAGGGGGTAACTTATAGAGGTATAGTGGGTCATTTTCAGGGATGGGGGGGGGGGTTGTTCTAAGGGGGAATTTTTAGAGATTGGGGCAGATTGTCCTACGCGGTAATTTCCGGAGGCCAATTGGCCTTGTGGGGATAATTTTTCTTGGGAGGTTATTGTCCTAAGGGATAATTTTCCAGGGGGTAATTGTCCTCGGGTTGGTTGTTATTGAAGGGGAGTAATTTTCAGGGGGGGGGGGTAATTTTCCGGAGGATGATTGTCCAGGGGGTAGTTCTGTTACGGTTAAGTCGATTTAGTACATAAATGATATAAATATGTGTGATATTTTTTGTTTCTTAGCACCCGAGAGTCCAGTGAATATTACTCTGGAACGAATAGGTAGCACGGAAGCAACACTCTCTTGGACCCCTCCAACTAGCCCACACGACGCATATGAGTTCTACCTCATCAATTCAACTAATGAGCGTTCACTGGTCGCAACTATTCAAACGGAAGATGTCAACGGATACGAGTTTACAGTGACGAGGTTGTCAAGTGGTGCTCTGTACGCGTTTGAAGTTGGGACCGTCCTAGATGCCAGCGATTCCTTTCCATTGCAGAGGAGTGACCAGAATGACAACCCTTCTGTATTCGGACGAACTGGTAGGCAAAATGTGCATTGTTGACACTCCCTATCTATTTTCTAATGCAGTTATTTATTCGTAATATTATTCACGATGGTCTTGCTATTGTCAAAGATCGGAATAGAGTTTAGTTCTGGTCATGCAATGTGATTGTAGAAGTAACCGCCTGGATAAACTGGGAAATGTTGATTATGTAGTACGATGGGGGTTAGGTGTCCGGACACATAAAGACTTCTATTTTACCTTCGGATTTAACGGAAAACCTGGCAGGAATTAATTCCTTGAAATGCTAGAGCGCCGTAATGGCAGCACTGCTAGAGCAGGGGTAATAATCTCCAATTTTGGAAGCGCTTAGTGATTACAATAAGCGCTATAAAAAAACTAAGTATTATTATTATTATTTTAAGTCTCAAAACAATTATGAAATATTGCTTGTAAACTTCCAAGTTCAATTTGCTGTTTTTACCCCCCCCCCCCCCCAAAAAAAAAAAAAATAAATAAATAAATAAATAAATAAATAAATAAAAAAATATAAAAATAAAAAAACATGCCACTTCTATCAAAACCAACATTTTATCAGCCTGAGGGTGGACTTTAATGAACATGGGGGTAACTTCCAGGGACGGAGGTAGTTGTCCACGGGAGTAATTGTCATAGGGGGTAATTTTCAGGGATGGGGGCTAGGGGATAATTTTCCGGGGGTTATTGTCCTCGGGGTGATTGTTCTTGGGAGGGGGGTTGATAAGTTTCCGTGGATGATTGCCCAGGGGGTAATTGTCCTGATACGGTGAAGTCAATTTAGTATAATAATTATATATGTGTTATTATTGTTTCCTAGCACCCGAGAGTCCAGTGAACATTACTCTGGAACGAATCGGTAGCACGGAAGCAACCCTTTCTTGGACCCCTCCAACTAGACCTCACGACGCATATGAGTTCTACCTCATCATCAATTCAACCAATGAGCGTTCATTGTTCGCAACTATTCAAACGGAAGATGTCAACGGATACGAGTTTACAGTGACGGGGTTGTCACGTGATGATCTGTACGTGTTTGAAGTTGGGACCGTCCTAGATGCCAGCGATTCCTTTCCATTGCAGAGGAGTGACCAGAATGACAACCCTTCGGTATTCGGACGAACTGGTAGGCATATCCAACATAAGTCTTAAAACATGAAATATTGCCTGTAAACTTCTTCAATTTGCTGCTTAAATCAACTGTCCGGATAAACAATCTGTCCGTACACACTATCTGGATATTAACAATAAATTGGTTTACACTGTGAGGTTTCGGAACCATCTTCAGAAGAAAAAAAATGCGGTACAGGACATGCACCGCACGCAGAACTGGGTAGACCTACAATGTTTAACACGATATAATACAGTCCAGACATAACCATGAGGCATAACCGTTTAGTCCAAACCTTACAGCTATATTTCTTTCCATATGTAGAGTATACTATTCGAGCATTCGAAGAAAAAGTCTTTTTCAGGGGTCATTTCTATAATGAATTCCTTCCAAACTGACCTAAAAAGACTGAGAAAGCTCAAAAGTTATGCTTCACTTTTACCGCGCTAAACTCAGCCTTCTCTCTTTAATACTTTCGTAAGAGGATCCTGAATAATTTAAAGCGCTTAGAGACGGTATTTCGTATAAAGTCCAGAATTATTATTATCATTATTATAACTGTTATCGTTATCATTATCGTTATCATTGTTGTCTCATATTATAAACCGCAATGTCTTTATTTCCCAGAGGCCATTGACGATGGGGAGATATTGGTGTCTAATGTCACATCATCATCGGCTTTTATCCAGTGGAAACCCAAGGAAGGAGTTTCATCCTATACGATCGTAGCTGAACCAAGTGGTGCCATTGAACCTTTGGAAGACATATCGGATACTGAGGCAGAGCTGACCATCCTGCTGCGGGGAACGGTGTTTAATGTCACCGTACGTGTCGGCGATCCAGCCATGGACCTGGCATCAACACAAATACGAAGTGGTAAATAAAAATTTATGCACCCCCCCCCCCCTCTCAAGAATTTAAAAAAAAATTGTAATTGTAAGGCACATGTAGATATAAATGCAAGAACTCCCTAGCCACAACCTAGCTCCCCCTTCCCCCCCCCCCCTTCGCACTGTCACAAAATAATTCTAGGACCACTTCCGAACTTCTGTTCTGGGGGTGTTTCCTGGGGGTGTTTCACAAAGATCCTAAGTTGAACTTATCTCTAAGTTCGACTTAACAATTATGGAAAGCCGTTTGCATCTTTGAAAATATTTTGTAAAAATTTGTTTAAAAGGTATAAAATGTTAATTTAAATCATTCATATTTTTTATTATCATGGGAGATTTTATGTTCTTGATGCGAAATTCATGAAAAGTCTAAAACATTTGAATTTTTGCTTTTGAATATATTATTTTAAGGCTACAAATGGCTCTCCATAACTTTTAAGTCCAACTTAGAGTTAGGTTCGACTTAGAATCTTTGTGAAACAGCCCCCTGGCCTATTTCTTTCTCCTCTATTTCACCAGCTCCTGAAGCTCCACTAGAAATCAAGATGTCAGATATAAAAAGTGACAGTATCAAGTTCATCTTGACACCTCCAACGAGCCCCCATGATGGATATGAGCTCTACCTCTCAAATTCGACCACCAACAAGAAGTCACTTGTCAGGAGTGTACCGAGGGAAGATGAGATGAGTTATGAGACGACGATAACTGATTTGTACCCTGCGACCATATACAACGTAGAGGTCGGGACTATTCTCAACGCAGAAGGCGCCTTCCCGTTGCAGAGGAGTGAGAATAATACAATGCTGACATTTGAAACAGGTAAATATTGGGCGCCCACAGCCCAAGTAACAATTCTCGCTACCCTAAATAGGTACGAAAATCTCGAAATTCGCGAGACGAGGTAATTTTCACTCTCTCGGGTCGTCACTACAACTTCCGGTATAGAGTCCCATCCCAAGTCACGGCCTTCATCCACCCCCATTTTTCAGGGTTCTTACGCTTGGAATCATGAGCCCAGCACTGTGCAGCCTCACAAAAGAAAACCATCGTCACTGATGTCAAAAGACGCAAAAAACAACGAATGAAATGTTCAAATAAACGTTGAAATATTTGCGAAAAAAAAAACAAGACCGAGCAGACGACATATTCGGTGCATACACGTTGTGTGGCGACGGCGTTTTATGTTTGCGCTATCGCGCCGCCTGCACAGGAAGCTGTAATGTCGAAAAGCTATCCCATAATGCGATGCGCGTTTTCAGGATTTTCCCCGGATCTCGGCAGAATCGCTATTTGGGGTAGCGAGAATTGGACGTTTTCTGAACGTTCTAAAAAGGTTCCAAATTGGTTTCCTAAACGTTTTGTGAAAACGTTCTAAAGACGTCTATTTGTGGTAGGTTGAAAACGTTTTTTGGAACGTTCCAAATGGACGTTTTTTGAACGTTTTCTAAACGTTTTTAGAACCAATAAAAAACCTTTTATAGATTTGCTTTTAAGTGCAAGGACCTGCAGAAAACCTGTCGGACGTTTGGGACGTTTTAAGAACGTTTTAAGAACCTTAAAAACGTCCGGAAAACCTTTTAGGAACGTCTAGAACGTTTCCAGGACGTTTAAAGAACGTCTTGAATGTCCAAGAGAACCTTTTAAGAACGTGTAGAATGTACTGGAAACGTTTTGAAAACGTTCAGAAAACCTTTTAAGAACGTCCAGGACATCCTGGAAACGTTTTGAGAACGTTTAGAAAACCTTTTAAGAACGTCTAGAACGTCCTGGAAACGTTTTTAAAACGTTCAGTAAGCCTTTTAAGAACGTCTAGAACGTCCTGGAAACGTTTTAAGTACGTTCAGAAAACCTTTTAAGAACGTCCAATATACAGTGAATTTTTAATAAACGCTAGGTCACACATGTATTTGATTGATTTTATGAATTTATTATCAAACATATTTACAAAATATGTACAAAGGCTTGGCAATACAGTACATCATGTATATTTGAAAAAGAGTATTGGTATTTCCCGAAGTGCCCCCGAAAGAACATACAATTCTAATATTCAGAATAAATTGTTTTTTGATCAATATCGGTTCACAAACGGCTGAAATATCCATAAATATATTTTTATTCAAAATATTAAAAATGCTTGAAGACTACTTTGAAGAAAAAAAATCTGAATAGTTCTTTAAAAAGCAATGGATATAGATATTTAATTAGTATTTTAACAAAAATTAAATGCAGAAACTGAAAGTAACAGGTCATTTTGATAATAACAGGGGCTTTACTTGGCCGTTTGTAATTATTACTTTGCACCGTGATGGTGCAGGTTTTGGTTTTAAAGTTAAGTTTGACCAATACTAAACTATCCCTTTAAAACTATAGATACATAACACATGAACAATCTACAAATAAAACATAAGAAAATGATAGATGAGTTGAAGATATGCCTCATTAACTGGCAAATATGAATACTCATATAATTCACGGGTCTATGTCTCTATGAATATACAAGGCAAGATAAAATGAATACTTTGAATAGTGTCAATAATTTGGCAGCACACATATAGCAACTTTGGTAACACACTTTATAAAAGCAATTTGAGTTATTTACAGAACCTGGCATTTCATGCCAAAAAGATGCCCCAGCAAATGATTAAGAAATCTTTCTACAATAAGTCTTGATCTTTGGTAAAACCAAATAGTGGATTTAATTTTTTGTGTACTATATCAAATTCAATGTGAATAAATTCACCAGAACCTTTTAACAAAATGTCACAAATTATCATTAAATACATGTGAATAACCGATTTAACTTGCCTCCACCCAGGATTAGCTTCATCATCCGGTGCAAATTATAACTATTCAAAAGAGTACATGTATTTACTTTCTCATCAACTTCTACAAGTGATAAAAATGTGACTATTTTAAGAAGTCACATTTCAAGTGAAAGTACGGCAAAAAAACACAAGGGAACTACACTCTTTTCAGCTCTACAAATTGGCAACAATGATGACACCAACTGTGAGTAGCTATCCATCAACTTTGTACATTCATATTTTCTAAATTTTCCTTTAAGTTACACATTTCCACAGCTTTTAATCAGAGTATGTTCAGATTACTAATGACGAATAGCTTTCTAGACAACATGCTTTGACTATGGGGGTTAGAAAATGTGAAATTTTGTGTACAAAGTGAATTTAGAGCTACTCAAGATGTCATCAGCATTGTCAATTTGAATAGCCGAGAGTAATTTACTAGAAAATGTAAAAAAAGTGTAGTTTCCTTACTTTGTTTTCCTTACCGAGTTTGCCCATTTCTTATTTTTAATTTTGTTCAAATTTGTCTCCTTTGATTGAAGCAGTGAAATTTCTAGGGTAGATTTCCCCTTTAAATCCGAGTACAAAATTGTCCTTTTGATCGACCAAAGATTTAGTGGGCAGGTCAAGATTTCCCAGAAGCCTTGCATTGGACCTTGCATCTTACTTCAAATATAAAATCAACACAAAACACATGAACAATCTACAAAAAGCTATTTACAATAAACTGATAGAAATTAGATGATATGAATTATTAACAGGCAAATATGAATACTCAAATTTAAGGGTCTATGAATATGGAAGACAAGGTTATAAGAGAGTTTGGCAGCATACACATTGGCCCGAATTCACAAAGCAAGGTTTGAGCTCAAACCTCCTTTTGTTTCGCCAAACCTCCTTTTGTTCTTTACAAACCAGGTTTGTAAAAAACGCGTAAAACGCGTCATATGACGTACGAAAACCAAGGTTTGAGCTCAAACCTCCTTTGTGAATTCGGGCCATCGGTTTCAGCATCCTTACAAAAAGTAGTAAATTTACAGACCTATACAACTTTGTCTTGCATTCTCAACAAGATGTTGGCAATTCAATCCAAAAAGATGCACCAACAAAACTGTTATGTCGCTGATAAAGTTTCTCCATTATTAGCTGAAATGGTCAAATTTGGTCTCAATATGAGTTTTAGGATTTTTGCATTGCCCCTGAATGAAGGTATCTTAATCTACCTTGAATGAAAATTTGGTGTTCACTGGTTCGGTAAACGGCTCCCTCAGGTCTTCCACATCAACGGCCGCTCCCAATTTGGACAAAAGCAGTTTTTGTACCAACTGCGTCAGCTGCTGCTGCCCTTCCTCCAGCCTCTGCAGCGTACACAGTACCTGCACTTGAAAATTGCCTGAGAAGAAAAAAACAGACACATAAAATACATTATAATAACAGTTCAAGTCATTAAAAAGTTTGACAGCAAATTAATAGGATATTTTGGCGAGATATGTTTGATAGCTGTCCAATTTAGTCACTTCAGGAATATATCACCCAGCTTCAAAGACGACACCTGTGCAGCGCTTCCAACAAAGTATACATACTGTAAGGATTTAAAAGCGACTCTTCTGTAAGAAAACTATACCCATGCCTTGTTAATGAAATAAATTACATGTACGCCAAGATAATCTGCCTCTCTTATCCAATCCAACAGTATTTTAGTGTAGCAACTTAGTACAAATGGCAAATGTTGTTTTGTTAGTTTATACGCTCTACAGTATATGTTCTGATGATAAAAAAAACCTCAGAAACTTTCGTTTGTGAAATGCTATCTGAAAAAAACTTACCTTCCGAAGCCCGAGCCCTTGCTGGAGTTGTGGGTTGGAACTGAAAAATGCGATGTGGACTTGGACTTCGCATTCAGTTTCGGCATTGGTAACTCTGCTGCCACAGCCTTAGTCGTTCCTCCGTGTACATGTTGTTTTCTTGGGTCCGAACTGATTCAAGATCTGAAAAACAGAGACACATTGCAGATGTTAAAAGGGATATCAAGACATGACAAGAATTCTCATAAACTGAACAAACTTTTGGGTAATGCAAACTTCTTGTCCGAAATTTATGCCTAGATTACAAATTAATTTCCAGTTTTGCCGGAATGGTGCCACATCTATTAATCGTCATTTTGCATGGCTGGGACACAAAGCAGGTCTAGCTATCCCAAATAAATTATCTTAGGTTTTCATCATCTGTTGGATTTTGAAGAAAACGAGAAATAAGATGTAAATTATAAGTCTCTGGCTGAGCCAAGCACTACTAACCATCAAGAGACAAATACTTACCAGCGTCACTTCCGGAATCACTAGAAGATTTGCTAAATCTCTGGGGAAAGACGTCTCTTTCGCTTCTACACAGCATCATCTTCCGGTACCAGGTTTGACGTGTCCTCTGCCTTCCTGGCGATATTTTTGCACTTTCACATAGTTGCCTGTATGTAAAAATAAAACAAATCAATCCTTAAGTTATTAATCTACGTTATTGGAAATCAATTTCTTTAAATAATGTGTAATCTGAACTAAAAAGATTTTTGTTTAAAGAGACGAAATTGAGAACAAGATAGGCCTATAGATCTAGGTCTCGATATTTCTAAAAAACAATATCCATACAAAAAAGGTGGTTTGGGAGCTATTTCAATTGCCTAAAAAACAAACCTGTTGTAATCGGGGTTGGGATAATATAAAGTTGCTAACTGGTGGTGGAGGGAAAAGCATGGAATGTTCCACTCCCGTGGGATTTTAAATGCTATTGAGGGAATAGTAAATAAGTCAAGAAATGAGCTGGTAGTCGAGGGACTTATTTTCTTCACGAAATAGCATTTTAATAGGGTGTCTGATCGCGCACCCGATGTTGTGTGCTAAAATCTTTCCCATAGAGATTGCACACATCCCTATGTAGTCTACATGCATTGCGCGACCAAGCAAAATTGGTCAATGATTTTATGAAAAATTTGAAATTCAAACCTTTATAACAAATGATCCT